AAGCGTAATCAAACCAAATCAGCTATAATATCGGAGTCGGGTGTTGGCCTCGTCGGTCTGGCAAAGGTGATATCCAACGGCGATATACAAAGTGTCGACTGCCATAATGACAGGGGCTGCAGAGTCGTAGTTGATTGCACGTAGCACTGGCGAGTTGAGTAAGGCATCCTTGAGATCCTGTTGGGAAGCTAATTGCTTGGGACCAAACTTGAAGTCCACATCCTTTCGCATTAGTCGAACGAGGGGTTCTGCGTGATGCGCGAAGTTGCAAATGAATATACGTACGACTCTGATGGTTCCAAGAAATGCTTGAACGTCGGAGAGTGTCTTGCAGGGTCCCCAGTTTCGGATGACTGCAACTCAAGACTCGTTGGGTAGCCATCCCTCTGGTGTGCATTGATGCCCAACCACCATGATTTCCTGCGCAATCAGGACACTCTTCGGTCCTGAGAAGGTGCCTCCAGCATAGCGCATCCGAGTAACCACTCGATTGAGGTTCTCGAAGTGCTCCCATACGAATTGATGAATCCCATTGTTCTCGAGGAGTCGTTCACCTCCGTAATCCGTCTCGAGGCCCTTGATCAGAACGTCGTTGATGTACGGGATTGTAATTTTGGGAATCTTGGGCTGCAGGATGTAAGTAACGTCCTCGTGGAAGATTAGAACTGAGTTTGTCCAGCCCATTGGCAACGTTTGTAGTCGAAGCGCACCATATGGCGACTGAAACGTAGTGAGGTCTCTCGATTTCTCCGCTATAAGGCATTTGTCGTAGCCTACAAACAGGTCAAGCATTCCCCCGCAGGGTCGGCCACCAAACTGTTCGGCAAGATGCTCGGGTGTCGGAGGGACTTCCGAATGTTGAATTGTTACTGTGTTAAGGGGTTCGAGACTGTGAACAATATGAAGTGCTTTATCGTCCTTTTTAACCACGCAAAACCATCTCGATCGATACGATGAGTTCGAGGGTTCGTATACCCCTGCGTCGAGCTTTCATTTCACCTGTGTGCAAACCTCATTGTATAGTCCTGGCAGAATTGGGATATTTTGTTGGACCCAAGGTGTATGCGGAACCACCGGAATCTCGACTGGAGGGAAGTAAGCCGGTTTGAAACAGCCTCTCTCGTCGTCGGTCCACGCGAAGGCATTGTTGTGTAGCAACATGAAGTGGTGGATGAGCTCGCGCTCGGCTGATAGGAGAAAGTCCCCACCGTGCAATTTGTCGGATATTTGTTTCTGCTCCTTGGTGTATCAGCTGGTAGGTACAAATGGTGGTGGGTGCTTCGAGAGTGTCAGCATAGTCTCAAGGGGATTGCCCTTGATGTCGCGACGAATATGAAACTGTTCTTCAATGGCCCCGAGGACTGGCCGAGTCTTCAAGGCAACTGGTTTATACTTCTTCTTCGTGCCTGCAAATGATTCGTATATCGGTTCTTTGTCTTCATCGTCGCTGTCGTCATCTACGGGTGTCAATTCTGGTAAGTCCAAATCAAATGAAACGGTATCATAGGAGTTCTGGGATTTTATCAGGGCATTTACGAGGTCCGGAGAAGAAATCGAAGAAATATTGTAAGGCAAAACAGAAGGAGAAAATGACGATTTTGAGGTTGCACTAGGTGCTTGTGAGGAAACAGAGATACTATGAGGAACTACTGGCCGAGACTCGGGAATCGGGAAATCGGCGGCTGCTAGGAAGCTCAAAGCCCAAGTTGCGGCATCGGTGGACGCGCTTGAGGTATTCGAGGCATCTTTAGTGTACAGAGACTGTAAGTAAGAAAAAACATTATCACATGCAGAGAGATAGAGAGCAGGAATAGTCTGTTTGTTCTGAATCGAGGGTATCGCGGCATACGAAGTTATATGAGGATCTCCGGTGTCGTCGTACTCGATTACCACCGTCACTTCGCCTTGATCGTTTATCAAGTCCTCGAAGCACGAAAACCCTCTTGTTCGCCCAAACCCTCTTGTTTGCCCATGAATTGAGGCTTGCCTCGGGGCTTCGTCGGGACAGTCATAGTTTTGCCCGAATTCGGGCAGACAAGGGTGATCATTTGGTCTTAGTTGCCAAAGTTTTTCACGACACTCTGCATGAGGACATCAAAGGGTCATCCGAGGAGAATGTCGTAGGCTGCGTTGCGAATAACGTGAGCTTGGAGATACAATGTTAGATTCCCAACCTGCATGGGAAGATTATGAATCAACCCGAGGGACTGGTCCATAGTCCCGTTCGCCGATTGCATGTTTAGCTTAATCAACGGGTCATAGGCTAGTCCGAGCGCATGGCATATCTCCTGCGACATAGCGATGATCTGCGAACCGGGATCGATAATGCACTCGATGCACTGCTGGTTGTTGATTAATGCTTTGATGCAATGGATGGTATTCGATTCGTTTGCAACTGTGAGATTAGCTCCAAGCACCTCGTTTGGACGACACTTTAGATAGCTCTCATAGGGATTGGGTAGAATAGTGGCGTTGGGACTTAGCGGATCTCCATGACAGGTGAGCAAATGTACGTCAATCTTCGAGACCGACTCGTCAGGAACCTCCTTGATTCAAGCGGATAAGAAGGCCTGTGGCTCGTGCTGTACATGTCGAGAGATCACCAGGTCATGGTATTTTGATCGTAAGTCGGGCAAGATAGAAAGTAATTCCTTCGGTGACAATGTTACAAAGGGGCTCTTCATCGATCGTTCGAACACTTTCTCGATCATCTCGGGTTGGTAGGCCGGAGTGAGCATTTGGTAGGACGGTTCCTTCCCCTTATTGGGGTTTGCTTTCGGAGCCGCACCGAAGTTTTGAAGGTTGGGCGGAGTGTAAGTGGTGTCTCTGGCTGCTGCGAAAGGATGTTCGTTCAAGGCTGCCGGCTGCGAAGGCGGTGGCGAGGGCGATGTCGACTGGGACAAAGAACTCGGAGCCACTGCACGAGTGACTGGTGCTACAGGAGCGACCCTTGAAGTGGTCTCATCGGGCTCGCAGACGAGAATCTTCAGAACTCCCTGTATCGGTTTCTTCAACGTGGGTAACTTGATTCCGTTGAAAACTTTGTTCCTTTTCCTGAGCTGGAACAACTCCTTCTCTAGCACAGCAATCCTGTCTGTAGTATTTAGAGAATAAGTAGCCATGGTTGGGGCGCTGCTAATCTCAAACATCAGCGAAGACGTCGGCGGCGTAGGATTTACCGGGGTATTTCGTCAATGCCATTTGTATACTCGATCACGAATCGTGACGCCTGGAATGCTTTGAGGCACAAAGCTACCTGTCAAAAGCATGACCTTCCCTTCGGTGCTCTTTTTCACCTTCCCGGCCTGCATGTCTGCCTGTACGTGAGGACAGGAACCGATTGAATAACCTACATTGCTGCAATAATGACAGTACTGCGGTCCTCCGTCCTGGGTCACCCAAGTTGGCGGTGCGACGGTCGTCGAGGTGCTCGATGCCTGCTGCGGGGTTGGAGCGTGAGCCGAAAAATGGAGAAGGGGTTGCATCGTCTTCGACCAGACGTCCATAATGTATTGGAGGTCTTCAGTTTTTATCGTCGAGTTCAAACTTGTCGTTGCCTTCGTAGTCACTGCTCAACTAGCTGTCCCATGAAGCACAAATTGCGCTGCCACGTGGAGATTGTCGATGGTGTAGGGGTCGTTGGGATAGTGGTCGGGGTGTTTCAGCGCAAGTCGATTCTCGATTTTCTGTAGTACCGACACTGGGAAGACCTTAATGTATGCTTCGCTCTGCTGAATAGTCGAGAGTCGCTGCTTAGCGATAAGGTGAGTAGTGATCGCAATGAAATTGTGGTAAAAGTTTCCTAAATCGACAGCGGACTTTACTCCGTTTTGAGCGTGCTCTCCGATGAGTTGATCGAGGTCAGCGATTGAGAACTTTCAATCATCCTCGCAACCTGGGTATAGGTCTCAGATCTGCTTTTTGAAGTTGTTGTAGGTCGCCAGCAAATTCGTGTATGCTGGTAGAGTTTCCCAAAGGTTGGCTGTGTCGATCGGCAGGTAGTAGACGACTTTTGCCTTCTTGGCGGACTCAGTCATTACTTCTATCACAACACGCTCAGAGACTCACCTTTAGTGTTGTAGGAGTTGAAAGGTTTGATAGAGTTGCT